CCAACAAGCAGGTTGAATGCCCTTTTTTATGAGTTGAAAACTAGACTCATGTAGCGGTAACAAATTTTTTAAAATCCGCATTAAATTTGTGGCCAGCAATATTTGAACCGGGGTTAGCTTTGATCCCATGTGAAAGTCCCTCTAACCATTATATCAGAACTCCGAATTTAGGATAAGGCTCGAGGATTATAGTTTTATATACCAATAATTACCATTAAAATATCAATAACAAAATTAAACAAGCATTACATGCTTTCTCATCCATTAATACGCATTATAATCAACACATGGGGAAGATGCTTTTGCTACATGAAACAATATGTACTACTCTTTAACTCTTAAGTCCAAACAGGAAGCCAAGTAGCAAATAATATACATTACCATACCTACTGAAAAGCATTTCTATAAGCCAGTGACTAATAAACAATTTAATCAAACTTTAGAAGTTCATATTTTAAAAAGTTGAGAAAGCATAATTAGAATGAAAGGAAGCTAAAATAATGATACCTGCCACAGAAAATCTTCAACAGAAGGATCTGACGCAAGTAATGACTGTACTTTCTCAGTTTCCAAGAAAAAACAATGTACCACAGAGTCCGTAATGATGTCACACATATAAGGCTTGCCAAGGAGAACTTCATATAGGCCTAAAGTACTTCCATGAGAAAATGTTGGATGCAATGAATGCTTCTTAGGAAAGGTCTTACTTGACCACTGCATGTGAGGAGGAAGCAATTATCTGAACAAGCTCAGAAGTTGTAGCAAAACAGTTCATAGAACATCAAACCAAAGTCATTAGTGTTAAAATCACCTTTACAACTCCAACGGCAATAATCCAGATGCCATTTGGCTTGGAACCCTCTTTGTATAAGGTTACACCACGTATTTTGATTATTTCCTTCGTAGAACTTGCTATAGGATCACAAATTGCAGATGGAAGAGCTCCCAGTAAAGGATGGGTTCTTAACACATGACTTGCTTTTGGCATTTTAACCAGTGGAGGATTCCTCAGAAGCCGTTTTAAGTCAGTCTGACACAAGGTTTGAAGATTATTTTGTCAGTAGACTTTCTTCAGTAGACAAAGCAAAAAAATAAAAAAATAAAAAATAAAAAATGAATGGAGCAAATGACGTATCTACAGACCAAGGTTTTAAATGTCGGATGTCGGGTTCATGTCGGATGGTTGAAATCCATGTCGGATAGCGAAAATCGGGGATATATCGGGGGACATTGACTAAATATCGGATTGCCATATCGGGTAGTGCGCATATGTATAATATCATGTCCTGAATGTAATCTAAGCATTCATAAATTCAATATAAGCATACTTTATAAATTCTATAGACTAAACATATAAAAAGGTAAATAATATATGGATTTGGGTTCATAAATTCTTTCTATCGGGTTCATAAGAAATCCTTAAACATGAAAACGGGTCAAACGTGTTTGGGTATTTATCACTAAACCCAAACCGGATAACAAAAAACAGAACTTAAAAAAAAAGTACTATATCGGCCGATTTTTCAAATCTAAAAAATAGGCCGATATGCCCGATATGACCCTAATATTTCCGATTTTGCCCTGAAAACTGACATACGAGTTAAAAACGTCCATGTCGTGTCGGTCAAGCCCTTAAACCGATATGTCGGCCGACATGTCGGACATGTCGGTCGACATTTAAAACCTTGCTACAGACAGATGCAAATGATTTGTCTACCTGAACAGCATCATCAAGATGAATCATCTCCTTTTCTTCTAGCAGTCCAACCTTCTCAAGGTTCTGCACATAATTGCTAAGATGATTCAAAATTGAGTATGTCACTTGTTTTGTCTTCACAACACGTAGAACCTGAAAAAAATAAAAATAAAAAAACATTGGAATTAAATTCTAATGCAAAATCAGTGAAGGTTGAGAACTTTTTTTTCTTTTTGAAGTCGAAATGACAAGACAAAGTCCCCCCAATGTTCCACCAAAAATCTCTTAATGAAACGTCTAAAAGGTACATAGAGTATATAACAAATAGAAACAAGTCAAGTACATACAAAGAGCTAGTATGCATAAATTTTAGGAGACAGAAAGGTGGAGAAATTATTTTATACTCAATGTCAGAAATTATTATTATTTATCCTCTCATCCTCTCAAGAAAGATAAAGCATGAATAAATAGCTCATGTTACAAACCTGAGGAAAAGCAACACGGACATCTTCCAAGAACTTTGAAGCTTCCTCTCCTTCATCCTTGCTTTCATTGATAACAGTAGTAGCGATGTCACTCTCACCTACCAGAATAAGGACATTTTTAGGAAATGCTCAAAACAGACATGGCAAACCGATAAATATTGCTTCAGTTATCTAAAAGGATCATATGAGATGTAAACCTCCTATGATTTTTCATGTAGAAGTTGACCTGCTAAAGTATACACCTGATATATGTCAATTTCTTGAAGATACACCAGATATTCGATCAGATTCAATTCGGTAGTTCACCTAACACTAAATGAATAATTTTTAGTATTCAAGTCATAAACGAATAGAATTTAACCAAATGTATATTCGATTCGCTTGATCATTAAATATTTGTTTATATTTTATATTTATTAAATGGTAGATTAGAAATTTCAAAAAAAATAGCTGTGATTGAGGCGTAAACTTAAATGAAAAAGGCAATTTAGAAGAGAAATCAAACATTATGATGTGTTTGAGGATAGATTTGTAAATATATATAACTTGGAGGGTGTTTGTGCACAAATCTACAAAGAAAATATAAAAGAGAAAAATATGTTTGTACCCAGAATTGAACCAGCGCATAGAGATTTTAAAGCCCAACCCACAAACCAACTGGGCTAATGAACATTCGCGAACCAATACATAATATCTTATTTATAAAGGAATCAAATATGAATATCATTCTGCTATTCAACCCAAATTTGAACCCAAATTCGAATATGATAAATCTAATTAAATTCGAACTCGAATATACAGATATTCGATTCGATTCGGTCATTTTCTACCCCGAGTACACAATTTAGTTAGCATTCAGGTTTCCCTTTCATGTTAATACTAATATCTACAATCTGACAGATATAACCATCATGGTAAGTGTCATAACTTTGCAGTGTAATAGTGGGCCAAAAGTGCGTGTGTGTGCATGTGGGTGGGCGGGTGGGGGTTGAGGTTAAGAGATCAACATCACTGTAGATACTAGATAATAATATATAATAGTTTTCTATGTGTCCATCTATGAACACCTATATTTTATTGTTTGGGTTTTTTCCCCACTAGAAACCACTTTCAAAATAAGGTAACTGTACGTAAATCACTTTTCATTTTTTATTTATACATAAACCACATTTAAAGTAGGTTTTCGTTGCAATCAGCCACCTCCCAGTCAGATTTTTACTTAAAACCCCAAAAAATAAGCTTTAAACACTAAAAAACGAGCCAAGTGTCTTGAATGTGACTTTAAGGGAAGTTTTGGGTTTTTAGTGAAATTTTTTAATGAGATATAGTTGATTGCAACAAAAACCAACTTTAAAGATGGCTTATGAATAAATTAAAAATGAAAGGTGGTTTCCGTATAATTACCCTATTTTAAGGTGGTTTCTAGGGGGGGAAACATTATTGTTTTAACATAAAAAGAAATGGAAATGCTCCAAATAGGGAGAAGAAAATAAAGAAGAAGAATCGTAAATTTCCCTATCCCTAACAGAGAAATAGGAATACCGATGAAATCATGGAGTTGCCTTCTTGCTATTCTGTGAGCACGAAGAAAAGCAGCACATATATAACAAGCTGACTCCAACCTCTCCACTGTAAAATATGTGACTAATCTCCGAGGCAGTCTACTCATTTGAAGAAACTTATAATAACTTGGGAAATGAACATTGGACTTTAGACCCTTCCAATCACATAAAGGTTCACTAGATACCACATCCATAGCTTCATCAACAGAACGCATTAGAAGACTTGCGGTACTCTGGGTTATCCTTCCTTCTTCAAGCATCCCCCAATAGGCAGCCTGCACCCCTACAAAAAAGGACTTTTTAAATATATTTTTTATTGATAAGAGACATGAAGATTAGCATGTATGTGATAATAATGTTCCAATGTGTCATAATTTATCTGCTGGTAGAAATTTGTGAAAAGAAAAAAGCAATGTTTTAAAAAGCCACCGCCTAGCCCGTCTAGGCATATGTGTAGGCCTAGGCAATACCTAGACCACCTACCTAGCGCCTACTGCCTAGGCGGTACCTAGGTAGCCCATTTAGGTTTCAGAAGCGTATAGGGGAGTGTGGACTGCTTTTGTGGACTGCACCATTTAATCGTAATTCCTCCATTGTAACCTCCACGTCCTCCGACCTCCTCCAAACTCCTATAGGCTTCAACTATGAACACATCTTCTACCACCTATGACCTTCATCCTCCACCATCACTTAAATGAAGAAATAAATCCCTCTAGGCATCAGTCCGACACCTAAGATTTCTATAACATTAGCATTTATTATTAATTATTGTTATTAAAAAATAAAAAATAAGAAACCACCTAGGCCCCGCCTAGGCGCTACGCATCGGGTCAAATGCCTAGGCGCTATCTGTAACCTTGAGAAAAAGTAATAAAGCCAAATTGGTGGGGTTCTGAGGGATAAAAGAGAAACACAGGTCTGGGTCCTAAAAGGGTAAAGCTAAGAAGAAAAATATATGGATTGGACAGTTACAAGTTACTTAATATTTTGAAGTTACAAGACTATTAACATATAAAAACCAAAGTGATAGAGTAATTACTAGTAGGGGTAAAATAGTGACTACTTAGTGATATGATTGTAACTATATCAAGGCAGAAGATGCACGTTGAAAGTCAAAATTAGGACACCCTTATGTTGTTCAGAGACACAAATAAAAAAATTCAAACATGTCAACCTCAAAGATTTCATAACAGACATGGAGTTATTTTCCATGACCACTTACCATTTAGAAGACGTATACGGATGTCTTTCAAATGTGTAGCCTCCAGATGATGCTCACTTTCAGTCACAATGTGAGGATGTACCTGTTCTTCATCCAAGTTATTCAAGCATGTGATATATCTCTGTACTGTAGGCCAGTCGGCAGGTCCTAATTCTTCATCATCCCCAAGATCGCCAAAAGCTTCTAGTGCTTTGTTTAACATTTCGTATCTTGTATAGTTTAATATGCGTTTCTGAAATCAAACAAGAAACAATAACTTGGCTATGGCAAAAATTGGTCAAAATCAATAGTAATTTGAGTATATCTTAAGAATGAAGAGATTAATTTACTTGTGACATGATTATAACATTTTGCAATGAGAATAAATAGGTGGCAATGAGAATATTGACGCTAGCGACCTGATAGTATGCACCATTATCAAAATTGGTGATTCCCATACTCTTAGCAGGCAGTTACCAACCAAAAACTGAAACTCCAGTCAGCATCTATATTAAATCGTCAAAGAAAGTCATGTTTTCTATGCCAATTTTCAGTATACATAAGTTTGTACAAGCCAAAAGTTCACTTATACTCCATATGAATTATACTGAGATCATAATGAATAATCCAGATCACCAATCCTTGATATATTGATCTGTCATCATGCGTAACTCTTACAGATGCAAAGTTTTCCAATATGCGGCACACCTTGTATAGAAAGCTTACTGTTGGCAGTTTGAGACACTCAGGATCAGATCATCGTGCAAACTGCAAAAGTAAACACGGAATGACAGCAAAGAAATTTTTGATATATTTTATTTTTCCTAAGACCAATTCCTAACAAAGATGATTCCCTGATGAGATATGCATTGAAAATTATGTGCATCTCTATCAAGAACCTAAATTAATTTCTCCTGAGCAACACACATTACAAACTATATGAACCACCATACAGGGATGGTGAAAATATACGCTAAATTGCACTTAAATGCCCTAAAGTTTCACCATTGTTGCACTTTAATGCGCTCAGTTATAAAACATTGCACTTAAATGCCCTAAAGTTTCACGTTGCTGTACTTTAATGCCCTCAATTGTAAAACCTTACGCTTAAATGCACTAAAGTTTCACATTGCTGCGCCCTCAGTTGTGAAACCTTGCACTTAAATGCCCTAAAGTTTCACCATTGTTTACATCCTTGAGGGAATTTAAGTGCAATGTTTAGAAACATTAGGGCATTTAAATGCAAATGTGATAAACTTTAGGCATTAAGTGGAAGGTTCACAACTGAGGGCATTAAAGTGCATCAATGTGAAACTTTAGGGCATTTAAGTGCAAGGTTTTACAACCGGCATTAAAGTGCAACAATGGTAAAACTTTAGGGCATTAGGTGCAACTTCGCCGAAAATATAATTGTTAGGACATATCAGTTTCGCCCTGCGTGAACCTGCACACACGCACGCACACATAATATTAACTTCTGTATGAAGCAGCAATTCTTTGAGAACCAGAACTACATATATTTGTGTATGGAAAAGAAACTCATTTGAGACCTATGGACCTATCTTGATTTATTCTTCAGGAGTCTTAGCAACTCCCTTAAATGGAAGCCAAAGGAAATAGTTGCTAATGGTAAATGAAGATGAAGAGTTTCAAGGCTCACGACGGAATTCCATCCCTGGAAAATTTAGCGGTTCTCATCCAGAACATGGTAATGTGCTGGACATATCAGATGACAGCCAGCTCTTCCTTTGCATATAACATATAGCCTTTAATAATATCATGTCCACAATCATATCAATTTGCTTTCCAGACCTTATTCCCAATCTGACATATCGCAATTTTATGTTTACCCACTCACCTTCAAAAAATTATACACCAGCATGTTTTCCCATATCCAGTCCTATATAAGCATCTATCTCTTGGTATTTGATTTTGTTACACCCCATCATACGCCTCCTTCCATGTTCACTTTAAATAGTTATGTTAATATTGCCTACAAAATCCTGCTATCACTACCAAAGCTTCATTTATGCATCTCAGTGGCATAAATTTGGTCTCTTGGTTTTTAGTTGTGGCCTATGGGAAATATTCTTCA